ACTAGAGAGATTCCAAAATGGCTGCAGAGTAAGTGGAAGCTACACTTACACAATCCCAGAACCAATCTGGAATTAAACCAAAATAAAGAAAAACCATCCTGAATAATTAACTGTAGACTAGTTGGAGAGAATCTTCATAACCAAGGACAGAAAGTGGAAATCGCATAGAGACTTGGTAGGAAGTGCAGAAGCATGAGAGGGCTGGTCAGTAGCAGAAATTCCAGAGGGTTCTCTCAGCTATGGGGGTGAGGGGGTCCCCATTGAGAACTCTGGGGTCTAAACCTCACGTTGGGTTCCCAAGCCCAGAGCACCAGAACTGAGAAGTGCCCACAGAACTGGCTGTGAAAAGCAGCAGGGTTGCTGTATGCCAGGGAAAGAGAGCAGGAAATGCAGTAACCCTCGTAAAGGGCCAACACACAAAATGTCTTGTGCAGCCACTCATCGTGGAATCCAGCAGAGGGAGGGCAGAGTACAATGGACCTATGTGAGCAAAAGTCAGGGTTGGGAGCTCTAAGGTTAGAGCTCCAAAGGCAGACACTCTGGTTTCTTATGCTAAGTCATTCCCTCCTACTGCAGAGGACATCTTCCTCCAGCAGACCTTTACCATCTAGGCAGCTTTTGCCTGGGAGAGAAGCAATTGCCACACCCTAATGAAAAACACCTTGCCACACCCGGTGAAATTTTCGAAGCCCATTAAGAGATTGAGAATAGGTGGAGAAACCAAGATGGCAGCATAGGTAAACATCGGAAATTGCTGCCTCGCACAACCACTTCAAAAATACAACTAAAAGACAAAACGGACATCATCCAGAACCACAGGAAGGCTGTCTGAGTGGAAATTATACAACTAGAAGGAAAGAGAAAAGCACACTGAGACTCAGAGGAGGTGCGGAAGTAAAGTGCAGAGGTACAGAGGCGCACATGGAAAGGACTGGCAACTGAGGACGATTGTCTTTTTCAATCGGGAGGGAGTCTCAAGCTCCCGACTGCTCTGAACTCCAGTTCTGGGTGAGTCTCTGGGGACCCAGACTCATATGGGGAGAAACTGGACTGTCTGGCATCGGTCAGAACTCAAGGGCGGCTTTCTCTCAGAGGTGCTGGCAGTGATTTCCGGGACACTGAGATGCAGGGCCTCTTAGGGTAGGGCTGAGGATCAGCCATAGCTGCTTGCTCTGCCCTGTTGATCCCCTGAGACCTCGCCCCACCCAAGCTGTGCGCAGAGGCTTTTGCATATGAAAGGCCTGGCCCTTTGCAATATGAAAATTACATAACAAACTGCAGCTGGGTCAGAGAGACCCAGAACTTCCAAAAGAAGGCCCAAGCCCCACAGCAGCTTGCACTGCTTCACAGCTGGGCCTCATCTGGGCACCTCCAAACCCCAAACAAAGAAGAGGAATCTGCAGATCTCTCCGTGGCTCCTGCTGGGTAGCCTCAGGAAAAGGCTACATTAGCACCTCCTTAGAGATCCAAGAGCCAGTGTACCCAGTAGTCAGAGTGGGACCATCCAGATTACAACTCCTCAGATCCATAAGGGACACATTCAGGGGGCAGACTCAGTGAGCACCAAAGCCCCATTTAGGAAGTAAAACTGTCATTATTTGCAGATGACAGGATAGTGTATATCAACTCCACCAAAAAACTACTAGATTTAATAAATGAATTTGGCAATGTAGCAGGATACAAAATTAACACCCAAAAATCAATGGCTTTTTATACACCAATAATGAATTCTCAGAAAGAGAAACTAAATAAACAATCCAATTTACCATTAAGATACCTAGGAAGAAATTTAATCAAGGAAGTAAAAGACTTGTACTCGGAAAATTAGAGGACACTGAAAAAAGAGACAGAGGAAGATATAAATAAGTAGAAGAATATATCATGTTCCTGGATTGGTAGAATTAACATTGTTAAAATGTTCATATTACCCAAGGCAATCTACAGATTCAATGCAATCCCTAATAAAACACCAACAGCATATTTCCCAGATCTAGAACAAATACTTCAAAAATTTATATGGAACCAAAAAAGGTCCTGAATAGCCACAGAAATCTTGAGAAAGAAGAAGTTGGAGGGATCACAATAACAGATGTCAAGTTTTATTACAAAGCCACTGTAATCAAAAGAGCCTGGTACTGGCACAAGAACAGACATATAGATCAATGAAACAAAAAAAGAGATCCCGGAAATCCATCCACACCGTTATGCTCAATTAATATTTGACAAAGGAGGCAAGAGCATACAATGGAGTCAAGACAGTCTCTTCAATAAATGGTGTTGGGAAAATTGCACAGGTACATGAAAAAATATGAAACTAGATCCCCAACCTACACCATACCCAAGAACAAACTCAAAATGAATAAAATACTTAAATGTAAGCCAGGAAACCATAAAAATTCTAGAAAAAACCAGAGGCCACAAAATCTCAGACCTCTTTCATAGCAATATGTTTACAGATACATCCTAGGACAAAGGAAACTAAGAAAAAAATAAACAAATGGGACTACATCAAAATAAAAAGCTTCTGCACAGCAAAAGAAACCATCCACAAAATGAAAAGGGAGCCCACTGTATGGGAGAACATATTTGGCCATGATACATCTGATAAAGGTTTAATTGCACAGGTACATGCAAAAATATGTACAAGGAACATACAAGGAACTTATACAACTTCACAAAAGGAAGACAAACAATCCTATTAGAAAATGGGCAAAGGACCTAAATAGACACTTCTCCAAAGTGGACATACAGATGGACAACAGACATATGAAAAAATGCTCAAAGTCACTGATCATCAGAGATGTAAATGAAAACAACAATGAGGTATCACCTCACACCTGTCAGAAAGGCTACCATCAACAAATCAACAAATGACAAGTGCTGGTGAAGATGTGGAGAAAGGGAACCTTAGTACACTGCTGGTGGGAATGCAGACTGGTACAGCCATTATGGAAAACAATATGGAGTTTCCTCAAAAAATTAAATATGGAACTGCCACTTGATCCAGTGATCCCACTTCTAGGAATATATACTAAGAAACCCGAAACACCAATCGGAAAGAATGTATGCACCCCTGCGTTGATAGCAGCACAATTTACAACAGCTAAGATCTGGAAACAACCCAAGTGCCCATCAGTAGATGAGTGGATAAAAAAGCTGTGGTTCATTTATACCATGGAATATTATGCAGCAGTAAAAGAGAAGAATCTCTTACCCTTTGAGACAGCATGGAAAGGACCTGGAGAGTAGTATGCTAAGCCAGTGGTTCTCAACCTTCTGGCCCTTTAAATACAGTTCCTCATGTTGTGACCCAACCATAAAATTATTTTCGTTGCTACTTCATAACTGTAATGTTGCTACTGTTATGAATCGTAATGTAAATATCTGATATGCAGGATGGTCTTAGGCGACCCCTGTGAAAGGGTCGTTCGACTGCCAAAGGGGTCGCGACCCACAGGTTGAGAACCGCTGTGCCAAGGCCAATAAGCCAGTCAGAGAAAGACAAGTATCACATGATCTCACTCATATGTGAAATCTAATGAACAAAATAAACTGACGAACAAAATAGATCCAGAGACATAGAAGCATGGAACAGAACGTCAAGTCTCAGAGGGAAGGTAGGGGTGGGTGGGAAGAAATCAATCAAAGAACTTGTATGTGCATATGCATAACCCATGGACACAGATAATAGGGTGGTGAAGGCCAGGGCTGGGGCAGCAGAGCGGGTGTGGGCTAGAAGGGGTCAATAGCAGAAAAAAGGGAACATATGTAATACCTTCAACAATAAAAACTGAAAAAAAATCCACAAAAAAATAATACAACTTAACAAGGAAATAATCCAATTAAAAATGGGGAGAGGACCTGAACACTTTCCCCAAGAAGACATACAAATGGCCAACACACATATGAAAAGATGCTCAACTTCACTAGCTGTAAGGGAAATTCAAATCAAATCCAAAATGAATTACCATCTCATAGCTGTTTGGATGGTTATTATCAGTAAGACAAGAAATAAAAAATGTTGGAGAGGATGTGGAGAAAAAAGAAACCTTCATACAAGGCTGGTGGGAATGTATCTATTACAGGAAATAGATATCCAAAAAATTAAGACTAGACATGATTATCTAACTATCATTCTGTATATCTAAAACTAATACAGAATATTGAATGTAAACTATAATTAAACAATTTTTTCAAAATTTAAAAATAGATCTACCATACTCAGTAATTCCTCTTCTGTGTGTCTACCTGAAAAATTTGAAAACATTTATTTATAAAGGTATATGTACCCTTATGTTCATTGTACCATTATTCACGGTGTCCAAAACATGAAAACATCGAAGTGCCCTTCAATGGATGATTGGATAAAGACGATGTGGTACATATATACAATGAATACTACTCAGCCATAAGAAAGGATGGAATGCTGCCATTTGCTACAACATAGATGAATCTTGAAAATATCACACTAAGCAAAATAAATCAGATGGGAAAAGGTCATATTATTTCATGCATATCTGGAGTTATAAAACAAATCTATAAACAAACAAAACAAACCAGTAAACTCATAAACACAGACAACAGAAGGGTGATTATCAGAGGGGAAGAGGGAGGATGAAGAGAGCAAAGGGAGGTCAAGTATATAGTGAACAGAGGAAGAATTGACTTTGGGTGGGGAGCACAAAATGCAATTTACAGATTCTGTATTATAGAATTGTACACTTGAAACTTATATAATGTTATCAACCAATGTCAGCCTAATAAATTTAATAAAAGAATTCATGTTCTGGACAAAAAAGGAAAAAAAATTCATGTTTAAATACTAAATGAACTTTCACCTAACAAGTGACAAGAGAACGTTCCAAAACATGATGAGAACAGTAATCTGCTGTTATTTTTTAGAAAATCATCTGTAAGTTATAGAAATATCTTGTTTGCATAAACAAAAAACTAACCTGAAAGGATATACTAGTTTTTGAGTCTATGTCTAACAATGTTACCTTTCATCTTTCAGCCAAATTTCATCCATTTTTTCTTGCCATTTCTCTGGTGGTGCTTCCAACCAAGCATTGAAATACCTGACAATGCCTGGGTGTTCCAGCTTGGCTAAGGCTTTAACTTCTCGCATTACCTTCTCCCGAGCCAATTCCCTTAAAAAAAGTAAAGAGGACATGTTAGTGTTTTGTTTTGTTTTTTGCTATAAGCACATCTATTGCTTCATTTAAAAATAAAAAAAGCTGTCCTGGCTCACTAAAAATGAGATGACTACAGACCTTTAAAGATTATTGCTTAATGTTTTTTAATGAATAAGAGGGTGAATAGGAACAAAGTCAAGTGTTCAGAAAACAGAGCTCAGGAGGATGGAGAACGACCACCCAACAGGGAACATTTTACAATCCGAATAGCTTCTCCCAGTAAGTTTGTTTAAAGCAAGCCTCAACCAATGACTATCACAGGCAATGAAGTTTAACGTAGTTAAAAGCATCTGGATTTGAAGTTTACTGGGACAGCTTTCAGATGGATGTAATCTCATTATTTCTAAGGATCCCGCTCTCACCTGAAACAACCTAAGTACAAGTTATATTCTCTTCCTGCCCCAGGAGATGGTCAGCTACTGCCACTTTTCTCCTGTGCTTTGTGGTTGCTGTCCCCTCTCTGAGAATCCTGATATGCTTCTGAATTCAACTTCTAGGTCCTCACATTCAGCTAGTTATGAAATTCGATTAGCTCCTCCTTTTCAATTCTTTACATTCATTGCTTTCTCATCTGTCCCCACTAATGTTCTGTATCTTAAGACTAAACTTATACAAAAATAAATCTTTCAACTAACATTCTCATCTATGACCTTTTCCTCACATCAGCCATCTATACACCCTCTCCAGTTACCTCCACTTTGAGCACATCATTCTTCTGTTCAAAGGCACAACTGTCTATGAAATAAAATCTAAACTCCTTTGCTTGACATTTAAGGTGCTGCAAACCATCTTTTCTATCCTCTCTTCCACCCCCACTTCTCACCTTTTGCTCCACCCTTGCCAGAACACTCCCTGGTCCTTTACCACCTGAGTGCCTGCCTACAGCCTTTGCTCAGGCCTCTTCATGTACTTGGCCATCCCTCCCCTACGCATCTGGCTACTGAGGGACAGGCTACTCTTTTTTTAAAAAATATATATTTTTTTATTTATTTTAGAGAAGAAGGAAGAGGGAGAGAGAGGTAGAAACATCAGTGATGAGAGAGAATCATTAATCGTCTACCTTCTGCATGCCCCCTACTGGGGATGGAGCCTGATACCCAAGCATGTGCTCTTGACTGGAATTGAACCCAGGACCCTTCAGTCCGCAGGCCAATGCTCTATCCACTGAGCAAAACAAACTAGGGCAGAAAGAATACTATTGAATATTCAGCGCAGATGTCACTACCCCAATAAAGCTTGTCTTCCTTGACTGCCATTCAGCTACATTTTTGCTTTTTCCATGAGAAGATACTTACTTAGCCAAGTTATGGGTCACAATCTTCCGTGCATTGTAATTATCTGAGTACATATACAAAATCCTCAAGTGGTTACAGGTTCTTGAATACAGAAGCCTTTCCTATGTGGTGCCTTGCACATGTAAATATTTAAACTACTCAACAATTATACACCAAAGGAAGGCATTAGTTCCACAGTATCAAACCATCCCATTCCCATGTCCCTATCTGTTGGATAAACATCCAATTACCAGTTAGGACAGCTCAGTAATTAGTGCACATTTAATCAAGAATCCATGCTAAGTACAATAAGCCAGTCAGAGAAAGATAAGCACCATATGATTTCACTCATATGTGGAATCTAAAGAATAAAATAAGCTAACAAACAAAACAGAAACAGACTCATAGATAGAGAACAGACTGACAACTGTTAGAGGGGAAGGGGGTTTGGGGGCTGGGTGAAAAAAGTGAAGGGACTAAGCAAACAAACAAGAACAACAACAACTCACAGATAGAGACAACAGTATGGTGATTATCAAAGGGAAAGGGGGGGTAGGGGAGGTAGAAGACAATAAAGGGGATAAATGGTGACGGAAGGAGACTTGACCTGAGGTAGTGAAAACACAATACAATATATAGATAATGCATTATAGAAATGCACACCTGAAACCTATATAATTCTATTAGCCAATGTCATCCCAATAAAATTAAATAAGAATTTTTTAAAAAAAGGAAAGAGTCCATAGGACCTTCTATAATATGTGGAAAGGAAGATATTACTGAAAGCTCATCATCTTAAATATCACGCTGTTCTGAGTCAGAAATTTTACTTCTAGGAATCTGTCCCAAGGAAAAGATATGACCAAATCCTATATAATAAAAGCCTAATATGCTAAGTGTCCAGTCATCCATTCAACCAACCAAAGTATAATATGATAATGATGACTAGAGGCCCGGTGCACAAAATTCGTGCATGGGGGTGGGGGGTGTCCCTCAGTCCAGCCTGCACCCTCTCCAATCTGGGATCCCTCTCACAATCCGGGACTGCTGGCTCCCAACCGCTTTCCTGCCTGCCTGCCTGCCTGCCTGATTGCCCCTAACCGCTTCTGCCTGCCTGCCTGATCACCCTCTAACCACTCCCCTGACAGCCTGATCTACACCTAACTGCTACTCTGCCTGCCTGATTGCCCCTAACTGCCCTCCCCTGCCAGCCTGATTGCCCCCCACTGCCCTCCCCTGCTGGCCTGATCGCCCCCAATTGCCTTCCCTTGCAGGCCTGGGTCCGCCCCAACTGCCCTTCTCTGCCGGCCCGGTAACCCCTAACTGCCCTCCCCTGCAGGCCTGATTACCCCCAACTGCCCTCTCCTGCTGGCCTGATCGCCCACAACTGCCCTCCCCTGCTGGCCATCTTGTTGTGGCCATCTTTGACGACATGGGGGCAGCCACCTTGTGTGTTGGAGTGATGGAAAATTTGCATATTACCTCTTTATTATATACTAGAGGCCCGGTGCACAAAAATTTGTGCACTTGGGGGGGGGGGATCCCTCAGCCCAGCCTGTGCCCTCTCGCAGTCTGGGACCCCTCGGGAGATAACGACCTGCTGGCTTAGGCCTGCTCCCAGGTGGCAGAGGGCAGGCCCAATCCCTAGGTGCAGCCCCTGGTCGGGCTCAGAGCAGGGCCGATTGGGGAGTTGGGGCGCCGCCCCGTCATGCACAGAGCAGGGCAGATTGGGAGGTTGTGATGCCAACCTCAGTCACGCTCAGGGTAGGGCCAATTGGGAGGTTGGGGCACTGTCCCCTGTCACACTCAAGGCAGGGTCGATGGGGAGGTTGCGGCGCCACCCCGTCACGCACAGAGCAGGGCCAATCAGGGGGTTGGGGCACCGCCCTCTATCACCCACAGAGCAGGGCCGATCAGGGGGTTGGGGTGCCGCCACTCTCACACTTAGGACAGGGCCGATGGGGAGGTTATGGCTCTACCCCGTCACACACAGAGCAGGGCCCGTGGGGGGAGGGAGGGAGCTCCCCCCTATCAGGCACAGAGCAGGGCTGCTCAGGGGTTTGGGGCCCCGCCCCGTCACACACAGAGCAGCAGGGCGATCAGGGGGTTTGGGCACTGCCCCGTCACGCTGATCCCGGTGCCGGGAGGCATATTACCCTTTTACTATATAGGGTAGAGGCCTGGTGCATGGGTGGGGCCAGCTGGTTTGCCCTGAAGGGTGTCCTGGATCAGGGTGGGGTTCCCCACTGGGGTGCCTGGCCAGTCTGGGTGAGGGGCTGAGGGCTGTTTTCAGGCTGGGAGTGACTGAAGTTCTCAACCGCTCCTTTTTTTCTTTTTTTTTTTTATTCTGGCCAGCTTTACCTTGAGGCTTGGCACCAGTTCTTAGGCCTCCGTGGCTGAAAGTAGGTTTCTGGCCTTTGCTTACAATGTTGTGAATCTGCTGGCTGAAGTCCGGCGGTATTTGTTACAATGTTTCTTAAACTGCCCGCTCAGAGGCCTGCAGCCGCAGGCGGGGAACGTTGGTTTCCTCCAACGATCCTCCATCACGGAAGCAAGCAAGCCTCATGTTAGTTTCAAGCTGCCTGGCTGCTGGCCGCCATCTTGGCTGACAGTTAATTTGCATATCTCGCTGATTAGCCAATGAAAAGGGTAGCGGTCGTACGCCAATTACCATGTTTCTCTTTTATTAGTGTAGATGATGATATGCCAAGGCCGCTCAATCGCTCACTATGACGTACACTGACCACCAGGGGGCAGACACTCCAACTGGTAGGTTAGCTTGCTGCTGGGGTCCAGCTGATCCAGACTGAGCAAGACAGGCCGGACATGTCCTGGAGCCCTCCCATATTCCCTCCCCAGCTGGCCAACCTCCTGCGTCCCTCCCCAGCCCCCATCGTGCACTGGTGGGTTCCCTCAGCCTGGCCTGTGCCCTCTTGCAATCCGGGACCCCTGGAGGGTGTCAGAGAGCCAGTTTTGGCCCGATCTCACAGGCCAGGCTGAGGGACCCCACTGGTGCACAAATTCGTGCACTGGGCCTCTAGTATTTATATAAAAGATGAACACTGAAAAGTTATTTTTAATTGCACAAATTGGAAACGTAAATGTTGAACAATAACAAATGGTTAAACATAATATGGCACATGTATTAACTGGACTATTATCCAGCTATAAAATACTTTCAACGTATTTTAACATTTTAATAAAATACTAGTATCTTATTAACATGGAAAATGTTGAGGACACAATGCAAGAGATGAAACTATACTGGATTGACCAGAAAAAAAATCAAAAGGAATACTCTAAAATGTTAGTAGTGGTTATTACTGAGTAGAAAAAAAAATAGAAAATGTTTGTTTTAATACTTTTCCTTATTTTCCACAATAAATATAGATGTTTTTAAATGATGCTAAGTTTTAAAATCTATAGTTATTAAAATTACTACAGGAAAATTCTGAGTTGTTAAAAATAAAAAGAAAAAAAAGGCATATTTTAAAAAGTAGATTCAAAGCAACCAAAGTAGATCACATCTTTTAGACAACTGGTTACCTGGTAGCACTAGAACATAAGATTCAGTAGTTTAGAAACTGTTTTCTATAGTTTCTCTGGAGTATAGTAAGAAGGACATACTGTCTATAGATTAAGTTATACAGTTCTAACTCCAAGTTGACTAAAAGTACCATACATTACCTGTTGGGGAGACGAATTCTCTTGATAGCATAATTGCAGTCATCTACTTTGTTTCTAGCTTCAAAGACAACTCCAAACCCACCACGACCCATGCACTGAATTGGTTCAAAATCTGTTAGGTATCTAAAAAAAATTAATTAAGTAGTTTTACATTTTATAGTATGGTAATAATCAGTTCAATCTTATTTTATGATATTTAAAATGTATAAATTCAGAAAATCTGATAGAACATATTAATAAAAAGTGTAAATTCTACTAATTGCATTCTTTGTTCTTCTGTTTGTATAAATTAAGCAAACACATTCTAATTTTTTCCTTAGAAAATTTATAAAAATATAAAAGTTTCTGCTTCATTGGGAATCACTTGTTAATCCCTTGTTCTTAAAGCAACTGTAGTACCATTCTGTCTTATCCAATATTTTTTATCATCTACCAAAATATTCTATCCTTACTTCTCTAACCTTTTACCTCCTGTGGTATTCTGTATGCAATTAAAAAATGTATTTTAATCTTATGTCAGTGCCTGATAGTTTTATGGAACAAATCTAATCAATCCTATTATAATTAAGTACTTTTCGAGCCAGAAATTGCCCTAGGAACCAAAACTATCTGTAATGGGCTGGGTTGCCTCATGAGTCAGTATGCTCATATCTAAAAGTATTCAGACAGAAGCTAACTCACCATCAGTTACTTACAGATGGACCTCCACACTGTAGCCTATTTCCCACTTTGGTGCCTGACCTCACTTACCTGCACTTTATATTCTAACCAACTTTGCACCATGCCCTCTCACAACATCAGAGCTTTTGCTTGTGCTATTTATTCCACTGGGATGGCCTAATTCTTTGTACTTATGAAACTATTCTTCCTTCATTCTGCTAATCTCTGTAAGCCCTTCCTACACACCCCAGTCTTAATGTTCTTGCAGCACTTTGCATACAGTACTTTGAACTATTTAAACTTAATCCCAACATTTTGCAGTTATTTGTATGCAGTTCACTCTCCCACTGCCACTGGATTGTGGGGGCCTTGTACGCAGGAGCACCTTCTCATTTCTCTTTGTATTTTCAGAGCATGAGCTTACCTGGCAAATAGAAGGTCTAGCAAATAAATATCTACTGAATAATGCATGAATTAATTAGTGAATAAAGTTAACCTTCCAGCCACATGGAGGAAGAGTTGAATTAGATAATATTTTATATCTCTTATAAGGCTAAATTTACTACTTTATGATTAGCACACTCAAGTTAATTTAGTAGTTGGCTCAGCTGGTTAGAATATGGAGTTCAGGAGTAGAGGGTAATAGATTCTAACCCTCCATGGACCAATTACCTTCACAGAGAATGAAGAGTAAAAATATGTACCCCCTAAAAATAGCTAGTCAAGGTACTTCAGTACAAATCCATCTCCCCAACTGCAAAAGCCCATGAAGTTCATGTCATACTCCTGGAGGGCCAATTGAATTATTTTCCTATGTTGGAGAAAACACCCATATGAAAATGGATATATCTTCTGAAAAGAAAAACATCTTATATATGCTTATTGACTCTATAAATATATGCACCAGCTTGCCTAAGGTCCCAACTGATAAACGAAAAGTTGAGACTGGAATTCAGGACTGAATCCAGAACACGTACTCTTAATAATATAGTTTACATTCAACATACATTAGGTATTATTACACAGCTCCTATATTTAAAAAAAAAAATCAGCTCTACTCTTCAAAATGAGTAACATTAAAGGAAAATTAAGTCATTCAACTTTAGAATACATTACTCTAATTCTCTTCCCAACAGCCTTACAAATATATTTATACACCATACCTCACTCCTCCTCCTGTCTCTATCCACCTAACTCTTACTTATGATTTAAAGTTCAATTAAAATGTGGCCTCACAGCTGACCAATGATTCTCTCTCATCATTGATGTTTCTATCTCTCTCTCTCCCTCTCCCTCCTTATCTGAAAAAAAATAAAATAAATTATATATATGTATTTATATATATATAAATATATATATATTAAATGTGGCCTCATTTATGATGCCCTCTTGAATCATCACAACCAGAGTTAGTCACGTAACTCATGACTTTTTCTCATATGTTTGTTTTTTTTACCCAGTATTACCTCCCCCATAGATTTTTAAGTTTCTCCAGGATAGGCTCAATCTTTCTATTTCTCTCAAAGCCTGAAATACTGCCCTGCACAGTGTTCAGAGTAAATGCTGAATAAACAATGAATGGCTCCATAGCAGATTACCCATCGGGAGTTGTTGGATCCCTCGTTCTCCACCCCTTCTTGCACTGCCTACTGGTACTGCTGGCCACTGACACAATAGTCAGCATCTTCATTAACAAGGGTCTTAAAACCCTTACCCTTCATTGGTCACTTAGTAAATTTTACTTTAAGAAGCTAGCAGTTAAGCCCAGCTAGCATGGTTCAGTGGTTGAGCATCGACCTATGAACCAGGAGGTCATGGTTCGATTCCCCGTCGGGACACGTGCCTGGCTTGCGGGCTCGATCCCCAGTGTGGGGTCTGCAGGAGGCAGCCGATCAATGATTCTCTCTTATCATTGATGTTTCTATCTCTCACTCCCTCTCCCCTCCTCTCTGAAATCAATAAAAAAATATTTTTTAAAAAAACTAGCAGTTAAACTTCTGTAACACTCTATTTCCATCCATTTTAGGGTACATACCACTTTGTTTTTGTTTTTAAATATATATTTTTATTGATTTGAGAGGAAGGGAGAAGGGGAGAGAGATAGAAACATCAATGATGAGACAGAATCATTGATCAGCTGTCTCCTGCACGCCCTCTATTGGCATATGCCCCAACCGGAATTGAACCATGACCTCCTGGTTCATAGGTCAATGCTCGTTTGAGTAAGTTTAAGTGACTTAAGGGTTAAGTCTACATTTTATTTACCTATTCACACATTAAAAAAATAGTTAAACAAGATCTTACTTTGTAGGTCATTTCTTAGATCCAAATAGTTGCCACCAGAAGCTACAGCATACATACATATTTTATGACAAGACTCTTACCGTGATATATATCCAGAATTTTTTATGTCATTCCAGCTGTCATTAGCTTCTCCACTTACAGAATCATATTTACTTTCAGTTTGACACTGAGTTTCAGATTCCTTCCTTTGCTGATAAGGTGGGGGAACGGGAGACATCACTATTAGTACAAATCTGAATTAAAGTTAGCTAATTACCTTAAGCTATAAAATAACATTGAAAAATAAATAAATAATATTGAGAAAAAGAAAAGCATTATAAGAACACAAAATATCACATCTACCTTATGAAATGGAAAGGAAATGAAACAGATGGGAGCCAGACTGCAATGGTTGAGGAATAAACGAAAGATAAGGAAGTGGAAACAGCATGTGGGAAACAATGACTTTATAGTAAAACTTAAGTAAATGTACCCCCCAAATACACACATTTAGGTTTTGAAACTCCCAACGCTGAAATAAATTAGATTCTAAAATATGTCTTACTCTGTGAGGATGAGGATGGAAAAGTCTGCGCACAATAAAAGTTGTTGCTATGATACAGAACAGAATAGTCCCGGCTATTTCTTTCCACCAGTGTAGGAGGAGAACAGGGTCCTTTCTGCGGACATTCTTGCTGTAGTCTGGGCTCTTCAGAACTCGGACTGTGATCTGGGTGCCCCCTATGCTCCGTCTGCTCCTGTCCCTCTGGTAGTATGGTAGATAATAACCATTATCTGCAAAAACAAACATTAAAAGGTTGTTTTAATTTTTAAAAAGATAAACCAAAGTAGATTCATCTTTATTTACTAAAAATTATCAATTTTCCTATGACTTATAATATTAATTCCTTTTGTAAAAGTCTCATTTCTTCTTTAACACATTTGATAGCCTCATTTATCTGATTTTTTCTTTTTTATTATGCAAATATATTTTCCTTTATTCCATAAGCATCATAAATTTTCTTTATACTGAATAATAAAACTAGAAAAAAATGTAAGGGGCATCCCACTGATTACCTCATTAATAATTAAATCCTTTAAATGCAAGAAAAGAATTAGACAGTACTTAACTTCCTTGAAGGATTTTAAACTTTACTTTCATTTAGTGTCAATCAAATGCCAGATTTTAACATGAATCATTCCTCACAGGCTGGAAGGAAAACATCTCTATTATACTCCTTGGTTCATTCCACGCTGAGTTGTCTCCAATATTGAATTTTGTGGGCAGATTACACAGTTTTCTCTAACCCGGAATTTTGATCAAATCAGATAAAGGCTGCTGTTTCTAGTTCAGAGCCCTCTGTTCTGTTTTGTTTTTATCAATTTAAGTTCTACAATCATTTCCCAGTCCTAGCATCTAAGGTTACTGATGAGGAATCTATGTTTTGTCTAATGCAGATTGAGGACTTTTTTATATCTAACTGTTCAAAAGACTTTCGTATATAAATATATCCTAATTTTAAATACATAGGAATGTATTTCATGCCAAGGGTCACCTATTCTTGACTTTTGCAATAATCTGATCTGCAAACAAAATAAAACTTCATTTTACAGCATTTTCACATAGCTCTATGCAAACACCTGTTTTCTTCATTATACTGACTGATTTTATATTGACTACATTATACAGGCTGATAATTGAATAATAACTAGTAAGAAGAACTAATGCTTACTGAATACTTATTTGCCAGGTACAGTGTTAACACTGTATGTGCATTACCTCACTTAGATCTCACAACACCCCAAGAAACAGACACGAGGGTCACCATCCTTGTTTTACAGATGAAGGAACCAAGACAGTAAAGTTAGGTGCCCATCTCAGTATGTGGCAAAACTAATTTGAACCCTGGCAACTGACTTTGGAGTTTACACCTTCGCCAACATTCACAATATTGCCTTTCACAGTATTTTATTTTCTACCCCTCAAATGACTATTTTTCATTTGAATTCTATTAATTAATTTCAAATTAATACATAAAATAAATTAGAAACAAAACAGCATTTTCAATCCAAGCGTAATCACACTTACCATATGGATACTGCAAGATTGAAAGTGCGCCATTACTGTATTCTTCATGAGAAAACTTATCATTACTAAGACATTTGTCAAATTCATCAGACCCTACCAAGATAGGAGTTCTCGAAGGAGAATCTAAAAGAAAATGTAAAAGCTTAACCGCTATGACTTTCATGAAAATGCAGGTATCTCATTCATTAAAAAAACAGCTATTTAACCACAGTTTAATTCAAATATGGAAGTCAAACAAATGGCTCAAGGTTCTTTCCCTTAAAAAGCAGTCTTGTAGAGAAGACGAATCTTATAAACAAGTAATTAAAAGCATGTGATAAAAAATATACATAAGGGACAAAAAGATAACTGAAGAAAGTAGGTAGCCTAGTATTTGATTTTAATTCATTAAATGTTTCAAAAAATATGATATGACCAGATAATTTTTTCATAAATATTCTTGATATAGGTAGGTTAAGAGCTGACACACAAGCACGGTTGGTGAATGGTTAAAAGTTTTTCTAAATTGTACAGAGAAATTATTTTATTAACATTGCATTCTAGCGAAGCAACTGCTGCTTCATGAAATCGTGTTATAAATGCTAATTAAAATTCATTGCCCAGCCAGCATGGCTCAGGGGTTGAGCACTGACCTATGAACCAGGAGGTCACAGTTCAATTCCCATCAGGACACCTGCCAGGTTGCAGGCTCGATCCCCAATAGGGGAGTGTAGGAGGCAGCTTATCAATAATTCTCTCTTATCACTGATGTTTCTCTCTCTCTCTACCTCTCGGAAATCAATAAAAATATACATTAAAAAATAATAAAATAAAATAAATAATAATTAACATCTGCCCAGCCAGAGTGGCTCAGTTGGTTGAGTGTCATACTGTACAATGAAAGGTTGCCAATTCGATTCCTGGTCAGGGTACATACCTGGGTTTCAGGTTTGATCCCCAGTTGGGGTGCATAGGGAAGGCAACTGATCAATGTTTCCCTCTCCCACCACCCCCTTCCTCTCTGTAAATATGTGCTCAGGTGAGGATTTAAAAAATGCATTAACATCTGAAATATCTTTCTAGTTTATCAGAGAATATAATGTTGTCATCTCTGTGACAGTCAAAACTAGGGCAAAGACATCATGATCAGCCCTGTGAACATGTTAATAAATTTTTAAAAAGTTTACAATTCACTTACGTATTAAGGGTTTCCATTTGATTGTTGGCAAAGGAATAATTTCATTTTTATTATTAACAGATTCCAAGGCCTTGGGATTTGTAGGAAACTTTTCTGAAATTCTGACAGATGACTGCAGATACAGCTGGCCTCTGTACATTCCTGAATCAACCAGAATATTGTTAATTATGCTTGGAATCAAACACCACTAATTCTTTTTCAAAAAAGCTCATTTTGATTTAATAATATTAGATTAATTCCAGTTATCTTTCATGTATTATACAACTCTTCTCAGAGAATTATGCTTGATGCACTCAAAGGACCCAAAGGCTATTCAATAAAAATATGGGAGGAAAGTTACACATAAGGTCCATACAATGTTTCTCACTGAATAACAACTTTCAGTCATTACTGGAAAACTCAGTAGGAAAATTCAAAGAAGTCTATGTACTCTTATGAGATTAGTAACTTAGATGAAGTAACATTCTCCTTCAGGAAACCTAAACACTTATAATTCCAGAGACATTGCTAACAATTCAGTTAAATATTATCATAAAACATGTGTGACATGTAAATCTTTCAAATTCTTGCATTTCATTGAGAATGAGTGGTGGATAACACACTGACAGAGCTTAAAGAAATTTGTATCTGACCACCAACACTAGTTCAAAAATTAGATTCAGGGTTTTTCAAAAGTTATTATACTAAAGGCCTTCAACTGTCCAGAAGCACTCCAAAATTTTATTTTTATTTTTCAGATAAGTTCTATAAATGCAAAGAAAAAAATACCCCTAGCTGGTTTGGCTCAGTGGATAGGGCGTCGGCCTGCGGACTGAAGGGTCAGGTTCAATTCCAGTCAAGGGCACATGCCTGGGTTATAGGCTCAATCCCCAGTGGGGTACATGCAGGAGGCAGCCGATCAATGATTCTCTCTCATCATTGATGTTTCTTGCCGGGAGCCGGTCCATCCTTGCTGTTTCAAAGGACCTGGCATATATGGCATACTGTTCTTAATATGTTTGCTCACCTTCTTGGCACTATGTGTTTTAACCAAGGTCTCTGAGAAAGGTTGTTTCCCCAGGTAGGGATTTTCCCCTGAAGTTAGGGAGGGAATAAAACCTCTTAACTAGTGCCAGGTGGGTAATTAATCACTTTAACTACGAACAATCATGCTTAAGCTACATAATCTTTACTCCCTGGAATGAAGATAAGAAACGCCCTAACCTTTGTAATAGAGATTGATAGGATTGAATCAACTGGTATAAATACAGATGTAATAAGACAGCAAGAGACAGAACTTAGAACACAGAACTTAGAACACAGAACTTAGAATACAGAGCTTAGAACACAGACAGAAGAAGACAGAACCTACACTCAGAACCTCGACACAGAACCTACACAGAATCTAGAGACAGAACCTAGCGAGAGAACATGGCAAAAGATCCTGGACTGAACCTGACTACAGAAATTGGCAAGAGAACCTGACTAGAACCTGATGACTGAACCTGGCTGGAGATCCAGACCAGAACTTCGCTGGAGATCCTGGCTAGAGATCCTGGCTAGGCTGCTGATCAACTGAACGCTATCTCCGTGTCATTCCTTCTTCACCGACTCCGTCCACGCCTTTGGGGACCCCTGGACCCGCTGGGGTTGGACTCCGGCAGTTTCTATCTCTCTCTCCCTCTCCTTTCCTCTCTGAAATCATTAAAAATATATATTTTTAAAAATTCATCCATGTCTTTTTAAAAAAATCAATAAACATAATCTTTAAGGGAGGAACAAATTGCAACTACAAATACAAATGTGGAAAGTTTTAGACTTTAAGGACATATCAGTAATTTGAAATCATGCCATCCAATCTAATAAAAGAGAAACATGGTAATTAGCGTATGACCGCTACCCTTCCCATTGGCTAATCAGGGTGATATGCAAATTACTGCCAGCCAAGATGGCGGCCGGCAGCCAGGCAGCTTAAACTGAACATGAGGCTTGCTTGCTTAAGTGACGGAGGACTGCAATGTTCCCCGCCTGCCTTGCCGGCCTCTGAGCCTGCAGTTTCAGACATTGTAACATATAGAAGCTAAACAAAACCCCAGAAACCAGCTTTCAGCGAGCTGGGATCTCAGAGCTGGAGTTGATACAGAGTTTCGATTATAGAACCGAAACAAACCAGATACCTGCTTTCAGGAGCGGAGGCCTAAGAGCTGGAGCCTCAGAGCTAAAGCTGGCCGAGAATAAAAAAAAAAGAAAGAAAAAAAGGAGCGGTTGGGAGCTTCCGTCACCCGCCAGCCTGAAAACAGCCCTCAGCCCCTCACCCAGACTGGCCAGGCACCCCAGTGGGGACCCCCACCCTGAAGGGTGTGTGACCAGCTGCAAACAGCCATCATCCCCTCACCCAGACTGGCCAGGCACCCCAGTGGGGACCCCCACCCTGAAGGGTGTGTGACCAGCTGCAAACAGCCATCATCCCCTCATCCAGGCTGGCCAGGCATCCCAGTGGGGACCCCCACCCTGATCCAGGACACCCTTCAGGGCAAACCAGCCAGCCCCCACCCGTGCACCAGGCCTCTATTCTATATAGTAAAAGGGTAATATGCCTCCCAGCACCAGGATCAGCGTGACAGGGGGTAGCGCCCAAACCCCCTGATCACCCTGCGGCTCTGTGTGTGACAGTGGGCGGGGCCACAACCTCCCTATCTGCCCTGCTCTGTTCCTGACAGGGGAAGGCGCCCCAAACCCCTGATCAGCCCTGCTCTGTGCCTGATAGGGGGGAGCTCCCCAACCCCCTGATCGCCCTGCGGCTCTGTGTGTGACAGGGTGCGGCGCCCCAACCCCCCCACCCCACGGGCCCTGCTCTGTGTGTGACAGGGTAGAGCCATAACCTCCCCATCAGCCCTGCCCTGAGTGTGAGAGTGGCGGCGCCCCAACCCCCTGATCAGCCCTGCTCTGTGTGTGACGGGAGCAGCGCCCCAACCTCCTGATTGGCCCTGCTCTGTGCATGACAGGGTACAGAGCCCCAACCCCCTGATGGGCCCTGCTCTGTGCGTGACAGGGGGTGGCGCCGCAACCTCCCCATTGACCCTGCCTTCAGTGTGACAGGGGACGGTGCCCCAACCCCCCAATCGGCCCTACCCTGATCGTGACTGAGGGTGGCATCACAACCTCCCAATCCGCCCTGCTCTGTGCATGATAGGGGGTGGCGCCCCCAACTCCCCAATCGGCCCTCCTCTGAGCCCAACCAGGGGCTGCACCTAGGGATTAGGCCTGCCCTCTGCCACCTGGGAGCAGGCCTAAGCCAGCAGGTCGTTATCTCCCGAGGGGTCCCAGACTGCGAGAGGGCACAGGCCGGGCTGAAGGACCCTCCTCCCCCCTGAGTGCACAAATTTTGTGCACCGGGCCTCTAGTATATATATATTAGAGGCCCAGTGCATGAAATTCATGCACTTGGGGGGATCCCTCATCCTGGCCTGTGCCCTCTCGCAGTCCGGGAGCCCTCATGGGATGTCTGACTGCTGATGGCTTAGGCCCATTCCCTGCAGTCGGACAACCTTAGCACTGCCAGAGAGGCAGGAGAGGCTCCCTTCACCACCACTGTGCTCGCCAGCATGAGCCTGGCTTCTGGCTGAGCAGGGCTCCCACTATGGGAGCACACTGATCACCAGGGGGCAGCTCCTGAGTTGAGCGTCTGCCCCCTAGTGGTCAGTGCAACATGGTGATCAGTGTGCTCCCATAGTGTGAGCCCTGCTCAGCCAGAAGCCAGTTATGAAGTAGCAACGAAAATAATTTTATGGTTGGGGGTCACCACAACATGAGGAACTGTATTAAAGGGTCGCGGCATTAGGAAGGTTGAGAACCACTGACTTAACCAGTTCTGAAACTTTTAATTGCTATAGCTTTTTTTTCCTCTCTGGGACCTATATAGGAAGGCTTAGAAATGTTGCATATATATGCATATATATAACTGAAAATTATTTTCGTTGCTACTTCATAACTATAGTTTTGCTACTGTTATAAATCGTAATGTAAATATCTGACATGCAGGATGCATTTAGGCGACCCCTGTGAAAGGGTCGTTCGACCCCCAAAGGGGTCGTGATCCACAGGTTGAGAACCGCTGGGTTAAGTGAAACAAAATAGCATGAATGGAAACCAAAGTATAAATCTCAGGGTAACCTAAGGCAGAGACTGTACTTAGGAATTAAAATTACTATCAGCACAGTGTAGGAATCAAATCTAGATATCAATTTGTATTATCACTAGATGAGAGACACTCACCCAAGTAAACACTGTTTTCTGTGGCTCCTCGGGCAGCTTCTACAATGTCTTCTTCATCTTCTAAAACACCATCATTAGATGCATAACTTGTATCATCAAAAAGACTGATGGGAATGACTTTGCCATCCTTCACCAACCAGGCAGACGCAATGGGAGTACAAAACTAAACAAAAGTGGAAAAAAAGTTTAAAATAATTTGAAGCATTCTTTATGTATTCCAACTTCTAAAATACTATTTACAATCACAAATTTGTTTTAAATTTCTTATTTTTCTAGATTTATTGAGGCATAATTGACAAAAATGTATATATAGAGCAAAATGTGATATTTTGATATATGTATACTTGTGAAATCATTAGTACAATTAAGCTAATTAACACACCTATCACCTCACACAGTTATTTTGTATGTGTGGTAATAATTTCACAATGTGTATGTATATCAAATCAGCACAATGTACAAACCAAATAGATAGTTTTTACTTGTCAATTATACTCAATAAAGCTAGAAAGTTTTTTCTTAAAAAATCTATACTCTTGCAAATTTCAAGTATACAATACAGAATTACCAACTACACTCATCACCATGCTATACATTACATCTCCAGTTATGTAGTCATCCTACATAACTGAAACTCTGTACCCTTGACCAACATCTCCCCATTTCTCCTTCCCCTAGGCCACGGCAATCACAATCTACTCTCTGCTTCTATAATTTCAACTTTTTTAGATCCCACATATAGGTGAAATGATGCAGTATTAAACTTTTTGTGACTGGTTCATTTCACTTGGCATAATGCCCTCCAGATTCATTAACACATTAAGTGCCCAGTCAGTCACTGGTGACTGACACTATACCAGTGATTCCCAAAGTGGGCGCTACCGCCCCCTGGTGGGCGCTGCAGCGATCCAGGGGGGCGGTGATGGCCACAAGTGCATTTGTTTTAACTTTTTTTGTATTACCTTTCTATTCTGAGTTCAATAAATAGTTTCATAATTTCAAACTTCAATGTTTCTAATTTACACCTTTCTTTACTATATTTTACGAAAAAGGTAGAAACATTAATACATATATCTTTCTGTGTAATTGCTATTAAAATTTTTAAAAAATTAATTTCCAGGGGGCGCTGAGTAATATTTTTTCTGGAAAGGGGGCGGTAGGCCAAATAAGTTCGGGAACCACTGCACTATACTTTCCATCCGGAAGACAAAACAGGCTGGGCACTTAACGTGTTAATGTTGCAAATGACAGGATTCCCTTTATTAAGGCTGGATAATATTCCACTGTAAAAATACACACCACATTTCCTTTATCCATCCATCCAATAATGGACACTTAGACTGATTCTATATCTGGGCTACTGTGAATAATGCTATAGTGAACATGAGAGTGCAAATATCTCCTTGAGATATTGCTTTCACTTCCTTTGGTAATATACCCAGAAGTGGGATTGCTGGATCATATAGCAGGTCTATTTTTGAGGAAGTTACATACTGTTTTCCACAGTGGCTGCACCAATTTACATTCTCACCAACAGTGCACATAGATACACTGTTATACACCATTCACCAATAACTTTCTTTTGTCTTTTTCATAATAGCCATTCTAACAGGTATAAAACCACAAATTTCTTAATGCATAGAGAACAAGATAAAATCCAAATTGGCATCGTTTCCCATTACCCAGTATGTTTGGTCAAACTGAAAAAGGAAGAAACAGTTCATAAATTCTCAGTGGTTTTAGTTACCTGATATTCCCATTCTAGATGTCCTCCCTTCTTGCTAAAGGCCATAACCTTCCAATCCGCAACAGAGACTTTTATCACTGTGTCCACTATGGCAGCTTCCTGTTCTTCCACATCTGAGATAATTTCAGACTCTTTGTTCTGACTGGGTTTTACAGTGCTTTCAATAAATCCGGCTCTAGTTTCCATGTCTGGAATATACCGAAGTTCAAAGTGGCCAACACTGAAATTCCACCTTAAATTTACAAATACATGTTTTAGAAATGTACACTTGAAAAGAGGGAGCCAAATAAATAACTTATCTACAGGGAAATAGCAAACATTAAGATTTGGTGATGAGAAAAAGAACTCAACACAATCTTCAGGAAAGAAGCGCTGCTAATTTATGCCACAAGAGGGCATAACTTTGTCAGGGTTTGGAAAGTTGTGATCTGACATCAGCTATGGGACAGATTTTCTCTCAAAAATTAACAAATGTTCACAATTCCAAATCAGGATGATTTTCTTAAAACACATCAAAGTCATCTTAAAATGGGATAGCAGCATGCAGTCGGACTTACTTCTTAATTCAAGTCTGGGCACATTTCATTCAAGTGTAGAGAAATTAGTATCTCCCAATAAGCCAATGTAAAAGGCAAAATGAATACATCAATTTTAAGTTTATGTGAAAACATGTCCTGAAAGGCAATGTGACCAAGTATACCTGAAGGTCACACACCTTACCTCCAATCTCTATTGACTGAGAGCTGGCAAGTCACTTACCCTTTCCTGAGTTTCAATGTCCTTATCCATAAAGTGATAATAATAATATTCCCTCTATATTTAATTTACAGAAAAATCACTTAACTATTAACAGTATAATATCTTGTCACTTACATATAAAATGGCCTTAAAATTACATCTACTAAAAAATATATACTTAAGGAACATAGGTCTTAGACCCCCAGGCTCTTCCTTTATATTGACTCAAAATTCTAATTAATTTGAACATCTGTTCCTATGGTAGCTGAGCAACCGGCAAGCACTCGAGCACTTAAAAAAAATAATAATAAAGCAAAATCCTATCAAGAATACAAAAGGTTAGGTTGCCAGCAGATATAAAACGTTACTCACAGTCCAGTGAATATAAGAAAATAAAATGTTTAAAAATGCATTCTTAAATGAGTTAGAGAAAACAACTTTCAGGAAAGGAAAATGAATTGTACTGCATCATATATAAATTTGAAAGTCTGGATTAGCCCTAGTTGGTTTGGCTCAGTGGATATAGTGTTGGCCTGCGGATCAAAGGGTCCCGGGTTCGATTCCTATCAAGGGCATGTACCTTGGTTACAGGCTCCTCCCTGACCCGGGCCCTGGTCAGGGCTAGTGCAGGAGGCAACCAACTGATGTCTCACATCGATGTTTCTCTCTTTCTTTCCCTCACCCTTCCATGCTCCCTAAAAATCAATGGGAAAATATCCTCAGGTGAAGATTAAAACAAGAAGAAAAAAAAAGAAACGAAAATCTGGCTCACTTACCAAAGATAAAAATGGGATCAAAAATTAGTACTACAAAGGCAATTTAACATTTAAATATTAGGTTTTTAGGCCTAGCTGGTTTGGCTCAGTGGATAGGGGTCAGCCTGTTAACTGAAGGGTCCCAGGTTCAATTCCAGTCAAGGGCACATGCCCAGGTTGTGGGCTCAATCCCCAGTGTGGGGTGTGCAGGAGGCAGTCAATCAATGATTCTCTCTTATCACTGATGTTTCTCTCTCTCCCTTCCTCTCTGAAATCAATAAAAAAATATTAAAAAATAAATATTAGGTTTTTAAAAATCACACATATATGTAATTTAAGAACAGCATAACTACCCAACCATCTTATTTTTAATCACATATTTAAAAGTAAAAATTATATAAGGAATTCATTATTTGAAAAAAAATTTTTTTTTTACCAAATAAATTATATCTTCATACTTTAAGAAGAAAATAGACTAAAATATTATTTTAAAATCAGGGTAATTGGAAAAACTATGAAACTACTACATAACAGAAAGAACTCAGAGTGAAAATGGTCAGGGCTGAAATAAAGCACATTAACTTTCTCTTGAGACTTTTGCATTGAAAAAATGTTGATCAGTAAGCTTGCTCTGAAAATTATCATTAACCTAAAACTAAACTCATATATCATCATCGTATGAGACTCCTTCTAGTTACCATATCCTTAAGCATATGGAGAGAAGCCCAGTACAGAATTTGTTAATAATCATGAGGCCATTTTTAATTTAGGGCTTACATTTTTCTTAAAAGAATAGTATGCTTCTAGGGAACCCAAAGAGTTCAAAAAAATCTTCAAAGAAAACTCTGAGTAGGTTTAGTCTCGGTGTGGTTCTAAATAACACTAGCAGCTATAGGATCTGAATACACACTTCTCATTGCCACTGCGAGGCCCGACGGCTCTAACAGTTTTCTGGGTGCGCTGCAGAAGCAGGATGTCTTCTTGTTCCATTTCATCATTATCCCATCGGCGACAACCCAATGCTGAACAGATGTACCTCACCTGAAAAAACATATAAAATTAGTTTAGCCCTAGCTGGTTTGGCTCAGTGGATACAGCGTCGGCCTGTGGACTGGAGTGTCTTGGGTTTGAATCCAGTAAAGGGCAAATGCCCAGGTTGTGGGTTCAATCCCCAGTGAGGGCATGCAGGAAGCAGCCGATCAATGATTCTCTCTCATCACTGATGTTTCTATCTCTCTCTCCCTCTCCCTTCCTCTCTGAAATCAATAAAAATATTTTTTAAATTAGTTTTAAAAAATACAAGTTACAGGAGGCCAGAGCCATTAAAGGAATCTCTAATTTATGTTTTTTTAAAAAGTATGGAAGAAGCACCCAAATATTAAGAAGCATCGTAGATTACCAACTCCTAAAATTAGTTATTTAGAATCATAAAAGCAGCAATGAATATTCCAGGGAATGATTTTAAGGACTTAGATAATTTTAGTCTTACTTGGAGCATTCCATGGAATATACAAAAAGAAATGGGTAAAATAAATAAATAAATAAATAAATAAATAAATAAATAAATAAAAGAAATAAAAGAAATGAGTAACCAGTTTTGATATCTTAACAACATCAATACAATTTCAGATGAATTAAAAAATATCCACCTCAGAGTTTCCATATTACAGAAGTAGTTGGTTTTTTAAAATTTGAACCTCTTCTAATAGCTGCAGTATTTCAAAGTACTTCCTTCAAATCTTCATTAAAAGAAAAAGGAAAAATCTTAGTATGAACCAAACTAAAATCCTAACAGAAAAAAGCATACCTACCAGAATACCAGAATTTTGCGAAAGCACATCAAATCAGAGACCTGAGGATCTGGTTCATGGCAGTGTTTACAGGGAACACTGAAATACACAGAGGACTCAAGGCCTTCTCAATGCACTGCAGTATCAGGAGGTGAAGTAGAAAGCATCTGCAGCAAGTACTACGGACCTAACACTTACACAGGGAATCGCTCAAGTGTGGAAAACTCAAGGGTCAAAAGATAATTTTTCTATTTTTCCTTGTTTTAATCTTAAGTCTATATATAAGACAGTCACATACCAAGGTGTTAGGGATTAAAAAAAGATTTTACCTTTCTAAAAAAGATGCTTTTAATTGGTCATTCCTAATAATGGATTTTAATTACAAGACACAATTTTATTTTTTATTTATTTTTTTAATATATATATTTTTTATTTCAGATAGGAAGGGAGAGGAACAGAGAGATAGAAACATCACTGATGAGAGAGAATCACTGATCGGCTGCCTCCTGCATGCCCCCTACTGGGGATCAAGCCCGCAACCGGGCATGTGCCCTTAATGGGAATCGAACCTGGGACACTTCAGTCTGCAGGCTGATGCTCTATCACTGAGTCAAACCAGCTAGGGCGCAAGATGCAATTTTAGAAGGAGATTATGATTACATCCTAAGAGCTAATAACGGACAAAGTCTAGGGCTTATCAGCATGACTGTCACCAGACAGATCAAGTCAAATCTGACCTTGAAAGTTTCTGACCCTTTTAAAGTCTCAGTTTTCTCAACTTTAACATAAGTACAATTTTCTTCTTGGATCCTCTTATTATAGGATCAAACTAGATAAAGAAATAAGTGGTACATTATTCTTATTATGATTGTTATTAATCTTCGGAGGGTTCTTCATCCATCCAAATGGAAACAAAAATATGTAACCCTTAGGAATACTGTGAGGAGTTCAAAATAATGTGCAATAAGTGCACCACCACATAGAAGAACCTGTTGTCTTGCTTCTGCTGTCCTGGCTCTGCTCTGCATTCTGTTATCTTGGATAAAGCTAGTTTCTCTTAATAATATTTCCCCATTCCACTTTCTCTATAGTTCTTTTATTACACCAAATGATATCCTTGGGGGAAATTTTAATAAACCTCAAATAGTAATAGTATAGTTTAAGAAACTACTTCTATTACAATTTATTCTGATTTCTCCCCAAGTAAATTCAGTATTTTCACTCACCTTTCCAGTACATGCACTGAGTCCATAGGTAGTGAGAGACTTCCCTCCAACCAAAACAACATCATCTCCAAATTTGTAAGAAGATTCAAGAAGTGATTCAACTGTAAAAGGAACTGTTTCCATGCTCTCACGGTCTCGGTCCCACTGGAAGAGGTCTCCATCCAGGGAAGGAATGATCATCTTATTCCCGAAAACCTAAAATAAAAGTTACGTTTGAAAAAGACCTTCACTATAAGAGGAGTAACTACGAGCTAGAGGGACTCTAGCTTCCTTCTCAAGCAGCACAGCTCACCAACAAACAGAAGCAACTAACAAGAACTGCCACCTCTCCAGGGGCCTCCATGCAGTTCTCCAGTATGCTTTTTCTCCAACTGTTTGCCAGGAGTGTCCTTATGATATGTGAGTTACCCAAGAGAGTTCTGTGATCAAGTGAGTTCAAGAAGAGGTTACTTCAGGGGTTCTTATAGTGATTGACATGCTAATGTAGATTTTCTAGCGAGGGGACAGCATACGCAGTACTTTCCAGGCCTATTTTATCCAGGCCAATTGCAGTCATAGGCTCAGATCCAAGAACACAAATTGATTCACGCAGTAGCCCATCCTTTTTTGTACTTACTTTCTCAAGTCAGCTGTGTGCTAGAAGCCTGGAAACCAACTGGTAACTTACTGAGTTTATGTTCTCAGTTGTTCTTCCTCTTTAACAATGTTTACTGAGGGCCTACTATGTGCCAGATACTATTCTGTTGCTTATGACAGAGGACACCAATGAGCGAAATAAATAATAATAAAATAAAAACAATCTCTGCCATTCTGGAGCTCAAACTCTAGTGTCGGCAGACAAAGTAATGAATAATTATAAGGTAATTTAGGTGATAAATGCCAGAAGGAAAAAATAGAATAAGATAAAGGGGACTGGAAAATGTGCATGTGGGAGGGGGAAGAGCCAGTCAGTGAGGAGTTAAGGGTAGACCCTGCTGAGAATGCAATATTTGAGCAAAACCTAAACCTGAAAGTTAACCATGCTTATTGCTGGGGCACACCCTTTACCAAGAAGGACTTAAGGTGAAAGTGCCCATCATAAGGAAAGCGAACTGTATTTAACTTATTGCTGTACTATACAAACTGAGACACCATTACATCCTCAAAAAGTGCTTATTGTACTTCTAAGAAATATTTACCAGGTATGCTTATGTTCTTACATTTGTTTATAAAGTGGCTGTAAAAATAATGCACTCAAATCTAGTGCCCAGATTTTGTTATCTAATTCCAATCCCCACCAAAGGAACCAAGGCTTCTCACACAACTGATTGATACCAGGACTGGGTAGATAAAAGATCAGCCTTTAACATCGGATTATTCTAGAAAGAACAAATGTAATTTAACTAAAAAAAAAAAAAAAAAAAAAAAAAAAAAAAAGATGGGAGCATGCCACCAGCAACATTTGGAAGAGTTTAAATACCAAAATAATTAACTACTAAATTATAAATCATTAGGGAAAAAGAGGAATTCACAAGCCCATACTGATAATAGATAAAATAAATAATATATGGGGGAAAGGGAAGACTCTTATTGCAATAAAATGCCAAGTTTCTACCGGTAAATATGAAAGGAGGGCTGCAGCTGGAAAAATTAGCATTTTGTATCATCATAGTAAAGATTGAATCAGGTCAAAAATCAGCAATGGAATTAAATCTAGGTGAAAATTTTGATGAGAAGCAAGATATCTGAATGGTCTTAAAGTATTCCCCACACACTGCTTATTATTTACAAGAATTTCATAAACAGTAATTATATAGGGAAGAGTTCAGACAATACCTTGACTAGTGACCAAAATTAATAACATCCCTGATGCCCTAAGGCAGTGGTCGGCAAACTTTGGCTCGCGAGCCACGTGCAGCTCTTTGGCCCCTTGAATTTGGCTCTTACACAAAATACTGGCTTCTGCGCATGGGCCATGAAGTTTCAATCGCACTGTATGTGCGCACCCGCATGTGTTATTTTGTGGAAGAACCACACTCAAGGGGCCAAAGAGCCACATTTGGCTCGTGAGCCACAGTTTCCCAACCACTGTTCTAAGGGGAGGACACATCACCTATGCAGAATCCTCACCAAGTATACACAAGCTGCATCTGAGCACAAGAAACACCAGACAAGCACAGAAGGAGGAAATTTCAATCCTATCCTATCTAATAAAAGAGAAACATGGTAATTGGCGTACGACCGCTACCCTTCCCATTGGCTAATCAGGGTGATATGCAAATTAACTGCCAGCCAAGATGGCGGCCGGCAGCCAGGCAGCTTGAAACTAACATGAGGCTTGCTTGCTTCACTGACGGAGGACTCCAACGTTCCCCGCCTGCCTTGCCGGCCTCTGAGCTTGCAGTTTAAGAAACATTGTAACAAATATAGAAGCTAAACAAAACCCCAGAAACCTGCTTTCAGGGAGCCGGGATCTCAGAGCTGGATTTTTATACATTGTTTCGATTATAGAACTGAAACAAACCAGATACCTGCTTTCAGGAGCGGAGGCCTAAGAGCTGGAGCCTCAGAGCTAAAGCTGACCCAGAATAAAAAAAAAAAAAGAAAAGAAAAAAAGGAGCGGTTGGGAGCTTCTGTCACCGCCAGCCTGAAAACAGCCCTCAGCCCCTCACCCAGACTGGCCAGGCACCCCAGTGGGGACCCCCACCCTGATCCAGGACACCCTTCAGGGCAAACCAGCCAGGCCCACCCGTGCACCAGGCCTCTATCCTATATAGTAAAAGGGTAATATGCCTCCCAGCACCGGGATCAGCGGAGCCGAGAGGCCTCCCAGCACCGGGATCAGCGTGACAGGGGGGAGCTCCCCAACCCCCTGATCGCCCTGCTGCTCAGGTGTGACAGGGGGCGGGGCCACAACCTCCCTATCCGCCCTGCTCTGTTCGTGACAGGGGAAGGCGCCCTAACCTCCTGATCAGCCCTGCTCTGTGCCTGATACAGGGGAGCTCCCCAACCCCCTGATCACCCTACGGCTCTGTGTGTGACAGGGTGCAGCGCCCCAACCCCCTGATCGGCCCTGCTCTGTGTGTGACAGGGTGCGGCACCCCAATCCCCCCACCCTCCACGGGCCCTGCTCTGTGTGTGATGGGGTAGAGCCATAACCTCCCCATCGGCCCTGCCCTGAGTGTGACAGTGGCCGCGCCCCAACCCCCTGATCGGCCCTGCTCTGTGGGTGATAGAGGGCGGCGCCCCAGCCCCCTGATCTGCCCTGCTCTGTGTGTGACAGGGGGCGGTGCCCCAACTCCCCTATCGGCCCTACTCTGTGAGTGACAGGGGGAAGCTCCCCAACCCTCTGATTGGCCCTGCTCTGTGCGTGACAGGGGGGAGCTCCCCAACCCCCTGATGGGCCCTGCTTTGTGCGTGACAGGGGGGAGCTCCCCAACCCCCTGATCGACCCTGCTCTGTGCGTGACAGGGTACGGAGCCCCAACCCCCCTGATGGGCCCTGCTCTGTGCATGACAGGGTGCAGCGCCCCAACCGCCTGATTGGCCCTGCTCTGTGCGTGACAGGGGGTGGCGCCGCAACCTCCCCATCGACCCTGCCTTCAGTGTGACAGGGGGCGGTGCCCCAACCCCACAATCGGCCCTACCCTGAGCGTGACTGAGGGTGGCATCGCAACCTCCCAATCTGCCCTGCTCTGTGCATGACAGGGGGTGGCGGCCCAACTCCCCAATCGGCCCTGCTCTGAGCCCGACCAGGGGCTGCACCTAGGGATTGGGCCTGCCCTCTGCCACCCGGGAGCAGGCCTAAGCCAGCAGGGCGTTATCTCCCGAGGGGTCCCAGACTGCGAGAGGGCACAGGCCGGGCTGAGGGACCCCTCTCTCCCCCCCTGAGTGCACAAAATTTTTGTGCGCCGGGCCTCTAGTCCTATATAATAAAAGCCTAATATGCTAAGTGTCCAGTCATCCAGTTGGCCATTCAACCCATCAAAGCATAATATGCTAATGATATGCTAAGGCCACTCAACTGCTTGCTATGACGGGCACTGACCACCAGGGGGCAGACGCTCTGACTGGTAGGTTAGCTTGCTGGAGTCCGGGCCATCAGGACTGAACGATACAGGCCAGACACACCCTGGAGCCCTCTCACGATCCCTCCCTGGCTGGTCAACCTCCTGCGTCCCTCCCCGGCCCTGATCGTGCACTGGTAGGGTCCCTCGGCCTGGCCTGCACCCTCTCGCAATCTGGGACCCCTCGGGGGATGTCGGAGAGCCGGTTTCGGCCCAGCGGTGGAATGACCAGTCTCTATGATGCGCACTGACTACCAGGGGGCAGACGCTCAATGCAGGAGGAGTGCTACTCAGCTAGGAGCCTGGGGAGCACCCACAGGGGGAGCGTCACTCAGCTAGAAGCTGGGCTCTCGTCTGGCAAGCGCAGTGGTGGTAATGGGAGCCTCTCCCACCTCCACGGCACTCCTATGGGGAGCAGGCCTAAGTCATCAGTTGGACATTCTCCAAGGGCTCCCAGACTGTGAGAGGGCGCAGGCCGTGCTGAGGGACCCCCCCCCCCCGAGTGCACAAATTTTGTGTACTGGGCCTCTAGTTCTTAAATAAAAGGGCAGAGAGACTGTATTCTTCAAAAATGTCAACATCATAAAAGACAAAAGTCTGGACGACAAGATGTACAGAGATGGAAGATGCTACAAAAGACATTATTAGGTCAACTGATTAAATAAGAATATGAATGGTAGATTAAAATATCAATATAAATTTATGAAATTGATAACTGTACTGTGATTATGTAAGAGAATGTCTCTATTAGAAAGTATTTAATGGTAAAGGGCCATGATGGAGATCTAATATATTTTTAAATGTTTCAAGAAAAAAGTGTGTATGAGGGGTGAGGGGAAGGGAAGGAGAGAAAGAAGCACTCAGATGATAAAGCAAGCAGGAGGTTTCAGTATGTAAATTTGGGTGTATAAGGGTTGGGGAGAGACCATTTTTATTTGAGCAATTTTTGTAGTTTGAAATTATTTCCAATTAAAAGGTTAACAACAAAGACACTCAGGAGCCTTGCAGGAACTCTGTAATTAAAGCCAGAAGGCTATGCCATTGAATCAAAGTTCATCATAACACTGGCTAAAGATCTACAGTTATTACTTATTTACCTATTTATATTTACTTTTTCATATTTCTTGATAACAAGATAACAGATTTTATT